TTAGTTTGTTTATTTATTTATTTATTCAGAATATTTGCGAAAAACCGCGTACTCTGATGTATATCAGTCAGCGGGGTGTTACACTCGTCTCCGTCATGCCGCACTGCTTAAAGGTATGTTTTATTTAAGTATCAATGAAAATACTTATAATGTGAATTGTGTATTCGGACTTTAGAAGCTTTCCTCCGTATAAATATGGACTTGAACTCTAGTGGTAAAGAGTTATGTCACGACTCTAAGAGCTTGTTTAGGACTGCTGGCACGTTTAGCTACGTGAAAAGAGCTTACGTGGCGGCCAACACTGTTAGTCGGAAGAGTCGAGCTAGCTATCATTCCGTTATTTGGTAATGACTACATGTTAAGATTGTTTTGGTTGGAGAACCCATGTTCGACCTCTTGGGGAAAATCTTTTTCCTATTTCTCTTGTCAAATAATTAGTGTGATTATTGTATCGAGCATGGAAAAAGTGGTGAACTTGGAAACTGGTGTTATGCACTGTTATATTTTTTTAGACCTTGAAACTCTTCAATTTGTGTAAAACTAAAACGCTTATTTGGAATGAACCCCATTTGTATACGTTTTTGGTGGGAAACTCTTCCCGTTCTATTGTTTTAGCCTATGTGAAATCCCAAGTCAGAAAATTTTCGTATTGAGAAAGACCATGGATTACTTGAACCGATCGTCGACCATGGCTAGGTGGAGCCACGCGAAGTGGTGGTTGAGCAGGCGCTCGCGTGCTGAGAGACGTTAGGCACTGCAGGGCCGACCATTGACTCGCACGAAGGCTGCAGCCCCCATCACCGAACGCAAGAACTCCCCAACCCATTGTGTACGGCCAAATCTTGACCTTGCGGCTGGTACCCGAGTAAGTACATGCACGCGTTCCAGTGCCCCGCTTATGCAGCGTCAGCGTGTGTGCCCTCTCTCGAGTGACAGTGCATTAAACCTCAGACCGACCTTGTTATTTTTGGGCCATTGAATGAGTATCCTTGGTCAAATTGTAATTTGATCTTTTGAACCTTTCCTAACGAGCATTAAACCGAGATCTCCAAGTTCCACTAAATTATTGTATGAATCCTCGAATCAACAACTCTCGATTATGCGAGACTTATCGATTAGGTTATTTTACCTCATGCGAGATTTTCTTGAGATGGCGCGATATAAGAACCGCATTGATGTTGTGCGGAGTCTTGAGTCTCAATTAGAGACTATGTATATTTTGTGGAGATCCAGACCTGCGAAGAGTGAGATGGTGTTGGAGTTAGATCGTTAGTAGAGGAATGTCGAGAATTCCCAATTATGAGATCGACTCTTCGGGAGGAGATCCATACCGAATAGCTAGTCAATACTTCCTAAGCCACACACGAGATATTACTTGTGTCGGCGAGGAAGGAAGTTTTGTTATAAATATCAACAGAAC